ACACCACTCCACTGTATATATGTCTCTCTGCTCTGCCCTCACAACATCATGGCTTTATTGAAATGCATGCAGCGGCCTCCTGAGAATGTCAGGGTGAAACTCAGGACATAAAAAAAAAAAAAAAGAGTGCACTGATTGCAATTAGGGCCATTGTCTCCCATTTATATGGTTATTGGGTGATGCCTCTTGCAGTCTGGCCGTGTCAAAGTTCTCACAGTCAGGATGCCATCTTTTTAAGTGGAGTCGCCTTGGCCTCTTCTGGCAACTATCTGCTAACAATGTTCATCTCACTTGGGTGACAAAGCTGCTAGGTGGGTCTTGTTGATGGGAAGGGCCCATTTCCTTCACCCCCCAAAAACGGTGTTGCTGCAGGGCCGGAGTTTCTGTCCATCCTGTGATCTGTTTCATGTTTTGTACTTGTTTTCTCCCATTCACTTAGTGTGAAAAGGGTCAAAGGGGTCGAGGTGTGGAATGAGCTGCTGCAGCCTCCCAGTCAGTCCCTGAACCAAACCTGAACCTGGCTGGAGTCTTCAACAATTCTTTATTTATTTCCCATCGTGAGGCAGTGTTTGAATACCATAGGATTTCAACGTACGCCTGGGAAAGTAAGCGAACCCAAGTAATAAGGCTCAGTTGTCAAAAAATATAGTTTGATGTAGATGCTGGCAGACTAATGAACCACCTCATGAATGACAACGGAAGAGTGTCACTTTTTGTGTTGCTTCCACGCTGGAGGGGGTGTGTATCAATCTTTCTGTGAGATAATGGGGTTAGATAGCAGCGAGACCTGGCCTCTGGTGGTGACATTGTTGCAGGGCTCAAAGACTATCAGGGGTCCAGCGGCTGAGCCGGAGCAGTGGTGGGCTCTATTCACATCCAAACCCTAATCTATCTTGAGATCAGGTCTTTCTCTCCAACAACAAAGCTCCATCTTTTCCCCAACTCTCATCACTGAGATTTTTTTCTGTTATTATTGTTTCTCCGAAAAGCACAGCCGGCTTCTGCTGTCTCTCAAAGGAATCAAATTATCAGTCCAGCTTTATTTTCTTCTTCCTTTGCCCTGTTACAAATCCGTAGGCCATGTTTGGGCTTTACTGACGAAAGCTGCCAGTCTTCATGACTGAAAACTCATCTATAGTCTAAGTGTGTGACTGTGTTGAGATGTTTCATTTTGTGCTTAAGTAGACAATGGAGTCAAAGACAGGAGCAACAGAGGTTCATAGTGAGGAACCATCAGCAGACAGTGAGTCTCCTAGCTAAACTGGAGACCCTTGGTTATGTATAACATGGAAACTGTTTTATCTTCTGTGCCCACTGAAGGCTTCACAGCACGATTATCACTGGTGAGTAAAGTCTGGGATATAGGTTTTTATTCTTTTGGAAATGCATACTGTTTTAGTTTCCATCAGCTGAACCTGACTTCACCTGCATGTGGTAAAACACTGTTCTGAGAAAAAGAAAAAAAGTTGCAAGAAATTGGCATGAATTTAATCTCTCACACTTGAGATCTTCAACATGTCATGCAAATTTTAATGTATCACTGTTTCGTAAATACATCCAAACAAAACCTTGCACTCCAAGTAGCATTGATACAATAGGATGATTTTTGAACTTCAACTTTCTTCAATACAGCTTGTTAGCAATACTTTACACCACTCAAAAGCATTGCATTGCAAAGAGGTATCTTACATATATTTGCCCCCTCTTCATGAAGATGTAAAACATAAAGCTTTTCAAGAGTTTAAAATAAAATAAAAAACAGACTCCAATGAATCAGGCTGCTAAAAACAGTGGATGGCCTAACTACCAAACTATACATCGCACTCTCACGTTCACATTCAGGTGCAACTTTCAGGAACACATTTAACATTTTATGTTTGAGATCAGCACCTGTGTTCTGCTGAGCGTCCCAGGTCATCCCCCTGAGGTCAATGATTCATCCTTTGCAGCACTAATAACAAGCTCTCTCGGCCCCAAAAATGAGTTTGTGTAATAATAGACAAAAGTACAAATTTCTGGTTGTTTATGTTGCTTTATTTTGGTGTTACAGAGTTAACTTTAGAAATCTACGACAGGTGGTGGGACAAGCGATGCCTGTGTGCAGTCAGTGAAAAACAGAGATGAGGTAAAAAGACTACAGTGTTACAAGTCACAACACTGTTTAAAAAAAAATGTATTTTTGCAAATATATACTTTTACTTACTACTATGTACATAGCATGAAATAAATAATTATAAAAAAACATCCAGTTTTTAGAAATCCACACAAACGCAAAAAACTACTTTGTACAAAACTTTGGATTTTAAGACTTAACAAAGAATTAGACCGTAGGCAAAGTGTCAACACAAGCAAATCAATCACAAATAAAGTATACAGTAATAGATGCACGAAAACAACTCCTGTACTGATATTGCTTGCTGTGCAGTTTATTTAAGATGTCCAAAAATGTGAAACTAGATAGGGCAGCGCATTCATATTTTCAGTCAGGATGTTATATTTAAGGGCAATTTTGATTCAAATCGAAGAGTAATGCAGGCCTGAGACATAACATGACATAGGCTGTAAACAATATTTCAACTATGACACTCCTTTCAAGACTCGAGTCGATATGTGAAATGGCCTGCACACTTTCATGAACATTATGGGAACTCTCTGGACGTCTCGCTTTCAGTAGTTTTCACTTTCCAAATAAATAAATACTGTGTTTTAATTTTCACAAACTAGGGGAGAACAACATGAATTATTTTCACCCTGATTTTTAGCACAACTTAAAAAAAAAAACATAGACAGCTACGATTACATTAAACTCTAGTTTGGTCTATTTGGTTAAGGTGGGAATAACTATGCAAGAACTAGTCAAAACTTCACATTATCTTTTCCAAACTATTTATAATAGACTTCTTTCACAGAAAGAATCAATACATGCAAGAATATACATTAAAAAAACAAGAACAAAGACATATTGTATGTGAGGACACACTCACACAAATATGATCTAAACGTAGCAGCATAACAACAAGGGAAGTATTGATAGTTTCAGTGATGCTGCTTGTTTTTTTAAGTCCGGGGAACAAGGAGCCACATCTGAGAATCATTAACTGCTAAGGTTTTGGTCATTGTTTTTTTTTTTTTACTTCAAATTAAACTGTATTAGACAGAGCGTATATAGTACAGCTTCTGCATTTTGTCTGGAAATTGTTTTTCAGGTTAGCAGGAATTAAGAAAAAAAAAAGTATGCAAATGAAGCATAACATAGTAGGAACATCCCTTTTATAAATAACAGCCCATACCCAGTCACATGAGACCTTGCTAATACTGATAAAAGAAGGAGAAAATGCTTCATATTTCTAAATGGGACACAAGTGCTGACCTTTCAGATTATTTTACAGCTCTCTGACCACCACAGACCTACTTTTTATTTCTAGTCTTTGGTCATTACTTTCGATGTTGTTCAAAGCCTTGTTGCTTTTCAAGAAAAAACGTCCAGTGATTTCAGGTGTTTCTTGATATGTGCATGAATGTGTATATTCATGTTTTGCCAATGATCAGTTGATGTCACTCATGTCTGCTCTGAAGATAAAGTTAGTCATGTATAGCAGATATTAACTTGTTAGCTTAAGAATTTGAGAATATGTAAACACATTGCAGCATAAACAACTACATTCACTCAGGTGCAAGTGCATTCTTACCCAAACATCAGAAACATATACGTATATAAAAAACCATAAAGAAGTGACCCACACAATGATAAAGTTAGTTTCCAGATAAACACATACAAACTAAAAATGTTGAGGAGAATGCATGCTGTTGAGTCTTAAGATAAAACAGCTATTTGAAGCAGTCAGCCAAGAATATGGATTGGATCATATTTGTGTTTTATGCATACGTTTATCATATTAATCACTTTCATTGGTACGATTTCATATGACCTTATTATTATTATTATTATTTAATATATTACATCGGGGTATAGACATTCCACTTTGGAGCGACATTAGCCAGTGGGCCCAGTGAGCTACCATAACATGTTTGATATCAATGGATTCACTGTAATCTCTAGATTCATATGATGAGACAACATGATATCAATGTTGTCTAGCATTAAAACTGAGCCCGCAACTACTGCCTCAAAAATAACGTTTTATGTGTCAGGTGAGACACTTTTCAGTAAAAGAAGGAAAGTTAACTAAGAACTGAGAACGATTAAAGCCTAATTTTAAAGCCATGGCGACATGTGTGGCAGAGTCTAATTTAGATGTACTGTATGTTAACCACTAATGCCAGGAGAATTTTATTTCAAGAATCTAACCAATAAAATAACTTTAATAGCTATTCATAGCAAGTTAAAAAAAACAAAAACAATCCTGCTTTACTGTTAATTTTAAATGCAATAGAGTTCATATTTATCTCTATATTTGTAAGATATTTTATCAATTTTAAACTGAAAAACTTGGCTATAAAAACTTGCTACATGTAAGGAGTGACAAGAGAGTGTTAAGTCATGATGTGTATAATGTCAGGTGTCTGTAGAGATAAATATGACTGCAGCATCAGATGTTGCTCAGGAAATATCACAGTGGTTATTTATCTCAAATGTTCAGGGTGTAACACAAAGTATTGAAGTTTAAGGATTTAAAGGGTCATTTGTGTAATGGAGGTGTGCTTGTAGAATTTCTGCAGGGTTAGTTTGGGCTGTGGTGGTGGGGCCTAATAGGAGATCTGTTTATGGGGCCCCGCGTCGCCCCTGGATACACTTGCAGTGCTGTACTATTCTCAACAAAAATATCTACTGGGAACACAGAAAGAATAAAATAAAAAAATCACCAATATGGTGTTTGTCAATTAGCCAACACCCCACTTCTTCTCTCCTACATCAGTTCATGAATAATCTTTTGCTATTTCTGGAGATATCAACATCGTTCCTATCGTCCCCCTCACCAGGGTTCATATGGATGATACATTGTGATGTCAATGTCTACTCAACTGTTTCGGTTCACTTTTCCAGCATCACAGCACAAAACACCTGTTAGGTCTGCCCCTGGAGTCCATGGATAGGTCAGACTATTTCACAGTGTCTCATGTTTTGTAGATAAGTTGCTGCGTTTGTTAGTTTACTTGTTGTCTTTACATTTTGGAAGGCAAAGAACCAGATGTCCTTATTTGCAGGTGTGCACATCGTAGACTCTCACACACTCCTGACAGCTGACATAGCAGCACCAGTGGAAAATACAGTTACACTTCTCCTTTCTCTTCTCAGTCCTGGTGTTGTGGCCTCTGCCGCAGCAGAGTAGGTCACACCCATCTATGCCATGAGACGTCAGGTTGCAGATCCGATCACGGGTGCCAAATGAACCGGTCTCGGGATTTGGGTCACAAAAATTGGGAGAGCTTTCATAATAAACCAGATCACGCTCTGTTGGGGGTTTGAAGTAGTTGTACTTGGGTCTCAGGGTCTCCACCCATCCACGGGACTCCTTATGTTTCTCCACCACCATCTCTGATGCACTGTCGTACTTATCCTTCATGTAGTCTCCAATAACTCGAAAGTCAGGTTGGGACCACCAGCATGTCTTGACCTCACAGCTGCCTGAGAGCCCATGGCACTTACACTTCAGGAACATGTTGTCGTTAAGGGACTGTGAATGAAAAATCAAAGTTTCAATCAAATATCTGGAAAAAAGGAAACGTGCTCAACTTCCATTAGCAAAAAGAGTTTTTCCGAAAACTCACCATTCTTCCTGCCTCATTGTTCTGACGGTTCATGGCTGAGCGTGCATCAGGGCGATTTTCTCTTGCATCAGCAAACTCTCGAGACACCATGCTCCCAAACTCCACATCCTCGCTGCAGCCACCCCACTTCCATCCCTCACCAGGGGGGCCCTTGTGGCGTGTGTCACATCCGCAGATGGTGGCTGAACCCTCTGCGCAGGCACGGGTCACTGCAAATGCCACTCCCGCAGAGGCGATAGCATGAACAAATGCTGACTCTCGAGTGGCTGGAAAAAGAAGTTCAGACATCTTTAAGACAGTAAAACATTGAGAGCTAGCATTCTACAGAGACGCAACTCTAAATAATTCATCAATTATTTTGTTGTCATATGATCTTTTGAAGCTAATCAGTTTAATGATTATATTTATGGAACATTTGTAGCTGTAATTGCAGGTTGCAGGTCACCACTTGTTAATTGGATTTTTGCTTGTTTATAGTCGTGTATGATTACATAAGCAAATCTTAACCAGCCCTTGCCCACAAGACAACATCAAACAAACTATACACACCGAAGAGGCCATTATTATTGTTGGCCACACCTGTTTAGGTCATATCTACCAAAGTGTACGTGTGTTCACTTAGCCTAGACATCAATCGTCCTGTCTCTGAATAATGAGGTCTCTATGCCTCCTTCTAACATAGCTTACTGATGACTCAGAGGGATCAGGATCTTCCAAAGAGATGAGAGGAAGATACAGGCCTGACAGGACTATAATTAAGAGACTCAATTAAGCTTTTGAAAGGTTAGGAAATGGCCTCACACTGTAGGGACAAATCATAGACAGCATTGAAGTGGGACTGTAGTGCCCAGATATGCAATCCTGCACAACACTTCACAGTTATGGGGCATATCAGGGGGGCATATGGTTTGGTTCAGCATAGCTTGCTTTTACATTGCGACAGGGAGCTTGCCTTGAATAAATGTACTTGTATGGTCTTGCTCAATCAGAAGAAAAGAGACAGAGGGAGCACGATAAAATATGTGGAAACACCAGGTGTAATATGAAGTGAACAAACAAGACGTAAGAAAGAGATCAATCGTGAAATTTTGGATTGTGTCTGTGCACTTGTGTGTATAGATAGACATAGATAAAGAGACAGTGCATACTACTGTCTAAAGTTCAAGAACGACAGAAGGAAAGAAAGAAAAGAAAAAAGGCTTGAGTATAAAGCTAAAGGGAGTACGAGCTCCTCCCTTACAGCAGGTTCCAACCAGTTTGAGGACTAAAGGGCATTAGGAACAATGATGCAAGAGAAAAGGTCTACTGGCATCCTCCACCACCCACTTCACAGTGCTATTGTATACACACAAGGTTACTAATTTTCACAAGAAAACAGCACCTCTACTCTCTTTCCTCAAGTCCATTACTAGGGATAACTGCATCCACCCCAGATAATTTCACTTAAATATTGTATTATTTTCTTTGTGGTTAGAGTAGCTCAAGGCTATTAAATGAAAATGAGATTATTAGGATACTGTCTACACTGATACAGTTACATGCCAACCAAAACTGTATACGCCTTGTGAATTTAATATGAAGGGGCTCTGTAACTAAGTTTGGTATTGGATAAGGCTGTCCCCTGCATATAAAACTATTTTCAACACAGCACAAGACAGCATCATCAGCATATAATTAAATTTAATTCAGTGCAGCATGTCTATTCTCATTTTATGAAAATTGTGAAAAAATGTGGTCCTAAAGCAGTACCCTGGGGAACTTCTTTAGAATAGCGATCTTATGGATGACTGGCAATGATGCTGGAGAGCTTAAAGGGATGTAGGAGTTCAAATGGGAAAGGAAAAGAGGATTATCTTGGGATAAAATGAGCAAAGGAGAAGGATTGGGGCAATTAAATATGTCCTGGTGTCTCTCTGTGCTAAGTAGGTTTCTGAGGTTGCAGACCTCTTGTCAGCCGCACACTCTTTAGTGCCTTGATGTCCAAAGAATCTAGCTCAGAAAAGGACTTAGTCAATATGAACATATAACAGGTAAACTGCTATTATTTATATAAATATCCATACAAAAATGTTTGCTACTGTCCACCAAGCTCTGAAATGCTTATCAGATGTGAAGCCACATTCATCATGAAACTGTAAATGTACTTATTAAAAAGAGTTGTTTGTATTCTAATAACTAGCTAGAAATGTTCAAAACACTAAAAAACGAAGGTTGTATGTCCCTCAACAACACACAAATAATTGCTTGCCCTTTTTAAGTCATTTTTTTTACCTGTTCTTTGTTTGAGGCAATTAAACATTGTATTTAAAAAAAAAAGGCCCCAAAAAAGGTATACTCATTGAAATATTTAGAGAACTTGCACAGGTATGCTTCAAAAATATTTTCTTCTTAGTTCCTCAGAAGTTTTACTTTATGATCATAATTAATGTTAAATTTAATGGCTACATACACCTGTCCTTCACCTGGAGACACCAGCTCTAACATTAGTTGTGCTGCTTTGTTTCGTTTTACGACCAATTTATGGTATTTCAGGACACTTCTACTCAGACAATGCTTCTCCACCAAAACTTGCCAGACCCTTGCAGACCAAGTGGTCCCTACAACCTGCTGGGGGGTTGAATCCCCTATTGTGGTGCCACTGTCACGCTGTGTTAGTCCCACAATGGCCTCAGATATTTTATATGAAATTTGCCCTGGCCAGTGATTAGTGGGGACCAAGTTAAGTCATAGCAACAGAGAACTATGCATTGGCCGGACCCCGCTTGTCGGCAGACGGGGAAATCCCTATTCAAATGGTTTAATAAAACAATCTAAAGGGCGTGTGAATGGGGAAAAGCACTTTTTCTCCTGCTTAATCTCATGGTTGCGCAGATATTGTGCTCTCAGCAGTGCTCAGCAGGGAGTGGGGCTAAGGTCCCCCCATCAACTCCATTTACCACACCCCTTCTTTCTTTCTTGCCCAGAGTTAATGATATACTAGTGCACCAGCTTCCCTCCCCCAGCATGGAGAGACATACTACTCATGAAAAGCAGAGACCTCTTAGCTCATCCTAAATAGTTACACTTTCTCATCCTCAGGTCACAGGTCGTAATCCACATCCCCTGACCTTTCCAGAGTTGGTTTAGACAGGACTTAGGTTAATTTATTAGGTTTTCTTCCTGGTATACAGAGTGTGGCAAAAGTAGAGGTACCTACAAGGAAGAGAGAGCTAAAACAGAATGAAACTTGATACTAACAGAATGAAACTAAAATCCCTTCCTTATGGCTCATAAATAATGTAATAGCAGTTTCCTATGAGACTTGTCTGAATTTAATGGTTTCAAGAAGAATATGATGCATGTCTATACCTGTGTGGGTTGTAACACCTGTGAAATGTGTGACTGTCCACTTTCTGTAGAAAAGTCACCCTCACTCATACTATCATATGACTCACAAACTGGCTTCTGATTATACCCATATAGCAGGTAGGTGTTCTGTAAATACCAAGAATGCCTCAACATCTCTGGGATCGGCTCTGGGGACTAAGAACACCTGCACAGCTTTCTATTACCTTTCATCACAGGCAGATTCCAGCAGTGCATGTTTTGACACTTTAGTTAATGTAAATTAATGAGTGCTGACGCAGACATAGCCTAAAGGTAGGGCTTGTGATTTGGGGTGTGGATTGAGGGAGAAACATAGAGAGAGGATCAGGCCATATTTAGAGGAGACAGAACATGCTCATAATATAAGAATGTGGGTTTTTTGAAAGCAGGAGTAGTCAGCAGTCTTTTTGTTTTGCTAAATAAGATTGTTTAAGCACTTTTTCACAAGCAGACATATTTCTCACTATTCTTTCCTTTTATATATTACCCACTCAATTCCCAGTATTACCCTTTCTCTATAATTGTGCATGTCTTCCATTCTTCTTATACTCTCATCCAAACATACTGCTTCTGTCCTCTATGAAGGTGAACTGTACAGGGATAGCTGACAAGAACTAAGCCCCCTGAGGAGGACTGCAAGGTGCCTCTCTCTTCCTTAAATATTTGGCCCCCAAACAGGCAGGAGGAAACTGACACACAACAGTCTGAATCACAGACAAACAGACACCAGTGAGGACAATGGCCCTGTTGCACACATAAACACCAGCATCAATCAAATCCTATGAAATGGAAGCCCTCTCCTACTAAGCCCTATCAAAGGCCTGTGAGCCCCTGAGTCACTCTTCTTGGCCTCTGACAAAGGCACTTAATCCAGCCACTTTGACCTCTCACATTATTAAGGGCCTCAGTGACCTTAATCCAATCAAAATGATTCACTAAAGCCCAGTAGCTTCCTCCTCTTTCCACTCAGTACCCCTTCAATTAAGGCCTGGGAGAAGAGGCAATGGGAGAGATGTGGTGGCATTTTGCACCACAATAGGGCTCAGATTGGGAACCCCTATCATTGACCACCTACTTGAGCTCAAGCCTCTTCTATAAACTGACTCAGGAGTTTATTAAAAGCAATTGCCCCTCCTAACCTCCAGCCCCCTGTGTTCACATCAATCTTCTGTAAAATAGGTGACAGGTTTACATCTCTGACCCCCCATCCCCTATGTTTCACACCATTTCTCAATATTGAAACCTATTACTCATCTTAAAGTTTTAAAAAACTTAAAGCATTTCTTTGACATTTTAAGACAGCTACTCACTCCCAAGAGTAGGTTAAAGAAATTATCAAACTATCAACTTTGTTAAACGTGTCAAGCAGCAGGTGACCGTAGCCCAGAATGAAGACTGGAAATATTCTCGTTCAGTGTACGGGGTCTACCAGCACTTTTAAAGCTCATTTACTGTTAAGCTAAACATACAGAAGTGAGAATTGTTTCAATCTTTTTGTCTAACTCTCACTAAAATACTTCTTTAAGATGCCCAGCAGAACTTGTAAAGTTCAATCATAAACATATGATATCGTGTTTGTTTAATTTGTACAAAAACTGAATTGTTTAATGGTCAGGTGCTGAGCAAACAGACAGTGTAGGCTATAGGCTATTTTAAGCTAATAGACAGAAGTGAGAGTTGTTTCAATCTTTTGACCAACTCTTGCTTACATTTTTCCAAAACGCTGAATTATTTCTTCAAGCTGCCTACCAACACTACTTAAGCTCCATTTTCTTTAAAAAAAAACATTTTTAATCAACTGAAGTGTTACATGGACAGGTACTAGCCTACTTAGGCATCTATTTAGCTTACAGCACATATATGAGGCTGTGACATCCTTATCATCTAGCTCTCAGGAAAAAGAAGTATTGAATTGCTCAGCTTTTTTTAAACAGATATATTGGTGATTTCTGTAGGCTGAGCACATAATATTACTAGATTTGACATATCCTTCATCTGAAAGTGGTAATGTATCATCACAGAATTAAGTGGGAAAAAACATATTTTGGAAAACTCAATAACTCAGTTTACAGTCTTGTGCAAGACACTTCAGAGGATTGTAGCCGAACAATCACAGGGGATTCCCTCGTGAAGAAAACTGGAACAAGACAGAACTCACTCGTCTTGATTGTGCACATTATTTCATGCATACAGGCCGCTCAGAGCTTATTCAGTCTAAAGTCTATTTAAACAAGGATTTGAATGGGCAGAATGAATGATGCACGAAGGGAGTTCAGCTTTTCAAATGCAAATATCAAACAGAGAGAATATAGAATTGTTAATGGAAGAGTTAATCAGCATGGAGATATAAGTTACTACATTTTTTCTCAGGTCTCTGCCTGTGGTTTGAAGCCATTTAAACCTATATGAAGTCCTAAAGCAGAGGGTTTAATGTCCATAGGCTAACATAATTGGGGGGAAGTTCAGAAAGCATCACTAAGATAAATGTAGAAAGGTGTATGTTACATACTGTCACTAGCATTATACTTCCCTTTATCATAAAAATAAATTGTGAAATAAACTGACCTGTTTATGGAAAAGTAGTACTGTTGTATATGCCACCAAGCCTCTGTTTTTGTCTGACATTTCAAAGGTTGGTGAAAGGTTTGGAAAAGTTGAATGTGATATAAAGCTTTCACTTTCGCCAATCAGAATTGGGCCAAGTCTGGTAGACAGTTGGATAGACAAAGAGTCTGGTTTCGAACTATTTCAGTTAGTGTTCGCTTGCCACTGTTACCAAGTTATTGTCCATGGTGGATTGATACATCAAAGTGTACAGTGTGATGAGATCATTTTGGTTGTGAAATGATGCTTTATAAATCAGCATTGCTACATGGGTTGACTGATAAACAGGGACAATGTCATTCTAAAACAACATGAATAGTGCTTTTCTATCAACAGGTTCTTTGCATGACAATGAGTAGAAAAGATAGATCATATGAACAAATACACTTTATATCTTAGGCGTGTAACATTACCTTTATCTAACACTGGCCCAAAAATGGCTAGATTGTCAGTGACTGTGGTGCAGTTCCAGCGTCGGCCTCTGAACTGGTGCTGGCATTCCTGGATGCCAATCTTAACCCCCTCGGCTACGCTGGGCATGATTTCCACGTAGTTCCGGCAGAATCGCAGCTGCTTGGGCACAAGACCGGGTATACTGCCACAGAGGATAGGCTGAGTGCCGAGGGATGAGTACTGATGGCCCACTGCCAGTGACCTGTGAGGACAAAGGAAGTAAATATCTTCAATGCATCCTTTTGTATTGATTCAACATCACTTAAGAAGAAGGTTAATTTCCTTCTTCAAGTGCTGTGTAATTTTATGTCTGAGTATGTTCGATTGTGGGTTTATTTGCTGTATCAGATGCTACCATTAGGCATCCATCCTTTATCCCTTCAACTACCCTCTGTGCAGACACCTGGCCTTTGTGTATTGAAATTGCAGCACTGCTGACACAGACGCAGGCAATGTTTCTGTCTGAGATGAAAGTCCACAATGCATCCAGAGGTTTTCATAGACCTTAAGCTGACAACTTGGGAAACTACACCTTGTTATTAAGTGTCCGCACACTTTACAGGCCTTCAGCTAAGAGTAATAAGAGTGCTAACCCTACATTGAGACTTCAGAGAGTGTATTAAGTGTAACACACAACCCAACCCCCCTTGTCCTTTGAGGATACAACAAGTGCAAACTTGGTTCACTGATTACATCTCTCTGCCTCTGACCCTTTATTGCTTTCTCTCTGTCTTTCTGTCTTTATTTCCTGCATCCTCTCGATAAGGATTTTATTAACTAGAAGTCATTGGATGGGATATCCATTGTGTCATTGCTTATTGGATAATTAAGCCAATTTCAATACACATTTTACCTATGGGTGACTATTATTTATGTCATCATAGACATCACATAAAACTGTCATGCTGCTATTATGTCCTAGGCTTTCAACAAGTTTGATTTGCATGCTGTGCCCCCATTTAAAAGTGTGTATGTCAAAGTGCATGAACATTACTGAAATGAAGATAATCAAACAACATTTTTTTCTACAACTCCATGACCTGCTGACCTGAGCTGTAAGCCTATAATTGAAGTGTCACCAAAATCAATATTTTGACTACTTGAAAGTTTAATAGCAGAGTTCCTATTATTTTTGGCAGATGCTCTGCAGAGTAGCTTGTTGGCAAGACAGAGGAGTCTTCATTTCAACCTCAACTGTCTATTAAAGACCAAACTCTGGCAGCCATAATCTGCTGATCCTCCCACCTGAGTGATATGAGCCTGATAACAGTTACTGTAGCTTCTGCACAAAGGCAGAGCCAGAGCAGGTGTGCAGTCTCCTGCCGCTCAGTTAGCTCTCTACCAGTTGACCTGCTCACTGTTGTTCAAGGACTAATTGCTGATCACAACAAGATTACCAAAACTCCTGACACTGGCCCCAGGCTGCTTTCTTTAAAAGCTCAAAGATCTCCTCAGTCCAGTGACCCCTGTCTGACGGCTGCTGACAGCAATAAACACGTTGACCTTGAATACCTCGGTTATATTTAGAAATGTACAGCCCAATGTTCTATATTACACTTTAATGTTGTTTGTCAGGTGTCAAGGTGTGTGTACACCATCAGCTGACCTGGTAAGTGAACCGCCGATATTTACCCCGGAGCGAATGTCAGAGTAATGTGTCACGCTGCTTTTAACAGAGATTATCGCCTAATTTCTGCAGAATAAATCATTGGCGTTAATCATGAATGAGACATCGAGCAAGCGAGCAATGGCAAGTTTAAAAACGACTCCAGAGGAAATCATACTCGTCTGCAGTTTGTCTGCAACATCCATCAGTAAACATTGGCACTCCTACTTCTAACTGACCTCTCTTTGGCCCTTGTCAGTCCATATACCCTGGAGCACATCATTCCTGGCAGAAACCTGAGTCCACATCCTCAAACTGGTTCAGACTTTTGGTTTGTCTCTCAACAAACAGAGGGCTAAAACATGAAGAACACCCGGCACAATATTTCAACATTAATGTCCTGCAGGCCTGCATTTTTTTTTAATAAGCAGTAGAGCGTCAGATGCCTTTGACTGAGATTTGGCAACTCTGACATTACCATGACATTTTCATCTCCAACATAGAAAGATTCCTGCCGTTTTGACCAGCACCAAAAACAAGAAACAAACAGAACATAGTTCCAATAAGCTCATTTTTTTTAGTTATTCCAGAGTTTGTATAAACCTGAAATTGACACCTGAGAGCATTTTTATATTTCTGCTAGGATATCATGACCATCATGAGTCAACGTGCTTCAGTTGCTCCACTCTTGCGTGCCTCTATGTCTGTCTCAGTGAGGCTGAGTAATCCATGCTACCTCTTACTGTTAGGAAATGTCCTAAGAGCCGAGGCAGGGCATGTTCAACCAGATATGATTTATGACCGTTTTGAAGGAGTCATTGCATAAAGTTTGATGTTGGTTACCGCCTCCAACAAATATTTAAGCAAAAAATCCTGGAGTTGTAGGCATCTGCTGAATGATTCTCCCTTGGTTTTTAACTTAAAAAAAATAAAACGATGTATCGTCGCCCAGAATAACTGATAAAGAAACTCATGATTACCGATACGGCTAATCTTTACGATTATGTACAAATAAATACTTAACTTACAAAACTTATATCCCATTAAATTTCTGTCCCAGCACAGACTTTTCCCCTCTCATCTAAGTGTATCCAGCGCAGGTTTAATGCATATTTCAGCAAGCCCAAGCAGGGTACCTTAGAATTACCACTTTACTCGTGGACCCTGGGGCCTTGGAGCCGACTTTGACATCAAGAGAATATGTTTGGGAAAAGGAATGTGCGGCAAGCTTTCACCTCCAGGTATTTATCTTCTAAGGTGGGGTGGACTAGGTAAGGAGAGGGGGTGGTGGTGGTGGAGTGGCGGGTGCAGCCAGGCTATGTCATGGCAGGTCGAGAAGAGACAGAGAGATAGAGAGAGAGAGAGAGAACCTGTCTTAGTGTGTATCCCGATATGAAGACTGACTTCTGTGGTGCAGAGGGTTTGAGTGTGTTGCGTCTCTGATGGCCACTTGAAGCCAAGTTGTCAGCTAAACATCACAGTTGCTTTACACAGAAGCGATAGCTCTTAAATAGCTGGCATGCTGTCTGAAAACAGAGAGACAATGCGGGATTAGACTGTGTTATTTGACTTGGGATATGTTGCCACGATACAGAAAATACACCAGTAGTCAGGAAAAAAAAGAACTTCAGTATTACGTCAAGAATTTAAGTTGACTGTGTTCTGCAGCCACAGATTGTTTTTATTAGTAGAAGTGACACAGCAGACTTATGTTTACTCGCCACAGTTTTTGCTTCTGTACTTACACTAAAGAGCTGATCCTCCCCCCCCCCCCCATAATCAAAGCATCAACACAGAAGTCAGCTCATGACTTGCTGCAACGTTTTTGTTATGACAGAATGGAAACCTGCCTTCCATTGTGTCATTCAAAACTGGACGGGCAAAAAGAGAAATGTAAAAAGAAAAGGGAAAAGCTCTCATGGAAATTGAAATTGAAGGCTTTTTTCCTGCCAGTGTGCATGACGGTGTCAATCAGCAGTGCTAAAACATGGCACTACACAAACTGGCAACCAGAACCAAACAGTGCAAAAAAGTGCTCATAATAGATGATAAAACACCTAAAATATAAGAGTAACTCTAGTAAGTTGGTGAGGCATGACACTGCCTCCAATCACTGACTTTTAGAATCTGGCATGTACAGATTTGGCTCATTTTTTTCTCCATCTCTCACTCCACATGGCCCACTGTTCTATCAGGATTTCCTTCCAACTGTGCATGTAATTAGTTTCTCATCAGTATCACCAACAGGGGACCCATTAAAGGAAGTGGATTAGAGTACACACACCATCTATACAACTCCCAAAATCAGAGAACTAAGTAAAAAACAGAAAGCATTTGTTTGTTTCATGCTAAAAAGAAATGAATGCATGCAGCTGGAAGATGAATGGTTAACATCAAGTTGACAAGAAAGCACATGTATCCCAAAAAAAAATAAAAAATCTTGGTTTTAAAGTTGCTTCTCAATAGTCAGACAACTGTACCATGCATAAGCTGCAGTGACTCTGTGCTTCTTCCTTGATTTAAGAGGGAGAGAAAATGCATCAAAGACATTCAATAATTTCCCCTTTCTTGAAAAAGCAACCATTTTTAGGACACTTTGGAAACTGTGTCAATCAAATTATTGATGGATGATATTTATGAAAGCAAATGCTGCTTCTGATGTCATGTGTTTTATTTTAATTTCTCTATGCATGTATTGAAGTCCTAAGTCTGAACATAAATAATAAATAATGATTTTATTTCAAACGTCATTCTCACGACTTCAGGATAAATCGTTTGAATATGTAAAATCATTATGCATAATAAAGCCTATAGTATTCATTTCCTGATTGGTTGGTACCAGACATTAATCATGACCCGAGCTAAACCCTGGCCAAGAGTTCATACTTTTTCCTACATCACTTGACCCTCACATAAACGCACGAGTGGACACACGCGCGCGCACAAAAACGCTCACACACTTGGAAGGACACAAACTTCGCACCTGCTGCACTCTGAATATGAAATGTGCCCTCCGTCATATTGCAGTGTTCATATTATTAGAAATAAACATTTGATAGAATTATGTTTTCTACTGGTGTTTTTGGTCCCTGTAGATCTGCTGTGCACAATGGTTTAAAAATGTAAAACGTTATTTACTCACGTGTTTAAGCTCTCTTCTAGTATTGCCCTAATGTCGTTTTGGAGTCATCCTTTGCATCAGACAGTCATTTTTTAAAACAAGCTCGATCATTTTACCGTCAGCGCACCTGAACGCACCGCTTCTGTCTGGAGCCAAAATACAACTACAACTCGCCAGACCTGACACAGCAGCGAATCATTGGTTAGCCCACTTCTTAACATTTACAAAAGAACAACATATGTCGCCATTTGTTCTGGATAAAATGAAAATAAAACTTACCACCAAATGGGATAACTTGCCATGACATGCGTGAGCCCACAGAGCAAAAGGAAACATCCCAGGTATATCATCCTTAAAGTTTGGCAAAACTTCTCCAGCAGAAAGCCTACATGCGAGCTCATGTGCGCACTCAGTTTGTATATGAAGAGGAAAAAAAACTTTTTGACTAATTTATAATTCTATCCTCCAAATGAAACGCTGTGGGAGAATCTATCTTTCGCGACTTCTCGTGGCAGCACTCGGGAGCCAATATTAAAAGTTAAAAGCTGCAGCTTTTTTTTAGGACCCAATCAGCAGGTATCGCCAAAGGGGAAATTCTGATGATATGTTCCCTCTGATGCCTAGTCAGACACTTGAACTGAGACAGCAGAATGAGCTAATTTTAAGATGTGTTTTAGTGCTCATTGAGACTCAGTGGCATTAGCATGCAGTGTGTGTGATATATAATGTTGTTTAAAGGAGAGAGGGAGGGTCTGAGGGCTTTTAAATAGACATCGGAACCCCTGTGGATTGCGTAGCTATAACAACCTGTCCGGATTTCACTCCCTGGCTTGAAGCTTCTAAAATGCAGAAATAAATATGTGTGAATTGCTTGGGACCATTATTAAGCTCTGCAGTCCTTTATTTGTGCCTGTTTGCCCTGAATGTCAAATTAGAAGTCGAGAACTTAAAAAAAAAAGAATCCAAGATGGTTATACAATTAACTGAAATGAAAATAAATATTAAGATATTCACAAATACATTCCTTATTATTAATTAAAATGTATTATTTCATATAAAATAGTAAATGTTTTGTCACTCTGTCCTCAGATATCTTGTAATGATTTTATTACACTGCAAATAGTGAAAAAAAGTAATGTTTATGTCCCTATTCCATTAAATAGAAGCTTCCTTATGTTGTCCAAATAAGAAAAGAAAGCAAGTTTAGAGCATCAATTAGAACATTTTTCCCTCAAATGGTATGACAAAAAAAACAACCAAAACACTGTTATAAGTGTTCTGTGATCATAACTTTAAAGCTGCCCGCATGAGAAGCTGCCAGAGCGCTTATTGAGACTAAATTAGTGGATAAATTGGCCGCACCACCGAGTTTGAAAAGCACTGACTGTTTCCTTCCTCAATGTCAAGTGGCTGTTGATAGCTCACCTCTCTCTCTCCATTTACAGGCGCTGATGCTTACAGTGCGATTAAAGAAAACTGTTGTGAAACATCACTTAGTCCTACAGAGCCTATACAAAGAGTTATTGCCCCAGAATTGATCACAATCATATCAGTTCTGTTTCCACCCCTTCTTTAGAAAAGTTAAGAACTCCATGCTTTAACATGCCGCTGTTAAGCAGGCCAAGAACAATCATTTTAATAATGATTATTAAATAACATTTTAAAGACATCTATAAATCAGTCTTCAAACAAGCCTAAGATGTGGCTTGGGGAATTAAAATTAAAATGAATATCCCAAAAGGGAAGGTTGGAGGTTTGACCAATAGCAGCAAAAAGCACAATGGAAAGTTACATGTGAATATAAATGAGCTTTACGAACTTTTCTCCATATTGCTCTAGGCCTATTCGCTGTTTACGACAGTCAGCGGAAACATTTAGCTGTAAGACATGGATAGGTGTAGCCTAATAGTTTATTGAAAAAAAACTGACAACTGTAAAAAATGTCTGCAGCCAATAACGAACAAAGAAGAAATTATTTAAATTTAGATTTTGCGTTTTATTTGCTCGGACTAGGAAGTGATCTTTAAGTGTTGAGGTAGCCTAAATATAGAAATCTCTTTGTCTTATCACATCATAGTACACCTTAAAGCAGTTTGTATTGATCTTTACAGTCACAGTGTTTTATAGGATAGGCCTACCTGCGAAATCTTAAACAGCAGGGAGACATATGAACCCTGCACTGTTTTTACCTTTTTCGTCCCTTTTGTTGTTCCCTGGCCCACTGACTCGTTTAGTCTTAAAAACATTATTTTTTCCGTCAAACCTATCATCATTCTTCTAATTTCCCTTGAAGTGACCACATGCAAAACTTTGATAAGTCGCCCAAAGGAGGCAAGACAACCTTCACACCTCCTGAGGCCCTTGGAGGCAGAGGAGAAACGAGAGGTTAGCACCATCTAGCGGACATTGTTGTGAATTACAACACCAAAAAGAAAGACACCTGCATTACACGCTTCAATATCAAGTGGTTGAAAATAAAATGTCTTGTATCAGGAACTTCTCTGTACACTGAAAGAAAATATTTTGCTAAACTACAACTATTTGAAAGGTATAGCTGCGTACATGCAGAAAACCTCAGATCATTTTGTGGACTACAATGCATCATTGTACTAAAATATTACTTTTCTCTTTATAAAGGCAGTTGAAATAACACAAAAGTAATATTTTAGTACAATGATTATAATTTAAAAATCCTGCTTATGAATAAATCCAAGTGGTTAAATGATTAGCAATTAAGGTGTAGAAGTCTTAACACTAGTAGGGGATAGGAACATCCAGTAATCATATCAAACTTCAGTGAATAACCACAGAACTGCCCAGTGGAGCCAGATGGTGTTTAGTCAGCTGCAGATGTAGAAATCTGGAAGTTAAAGCAGCTATGAACTTGACCAGTTTTCTCCTCATAAGCTGTCACTGAGGCCTATTCAGTGATGGTGATGCATGAGAAAAATCTAACGCCTGTTCAGCTAATAGTAACAGTTCATATCATACAGTTCAATAAGAGACTAGTAATAGAATGTTGAAACAAGTGTAACCTTTAAATATCATTTAAACCAGACAATGTTTTTTCATACAAATTTTATCACACAATGAATACACCACTCCAAAGTGATGTATTAAGTAAACTGTAAACTAAATTATTTTCATTTCTTCTCAACCAAGTTTGTTTCCTCGGCTCATCATTCAGGTTTTCCCCTGACAAACCAAAAGGACATCATGGAACCTCTGTGTTGCCATGGTGACCTCCCAGCAATTATGATGTCATTAAGTTAAGTCTTGTAAGCAACGAGTAATATCCTACAAGTGCGTCTTGTCATTGCTCTGCACCACAGGCCTCAGTCAGACTCCCTGTGTTTGACATAACACAGCTACACTAACATCATGCTGTATACAAATATTGAATTAATCACATTAACATTACTTCACTTAAGTTTTTCCATGAATATTTTCCTGGTGTGCAATCAAATTGTAAATGCTCATTTCTACAGTTAAATGTCTTATTAAGATACAGCTTACAAAGAAAATTGGAAGAAATCAAAGCTTCTGTAAATGACAGTTTAGGATGTCAGCTGTGCACAAATGTGACAGCTCCACTAGATGTCAGCATTGTGATGAGATTACAATATCTATTGTTCCAGCTAAACATTGCTTTTACAATGTAGGCAAAGCAGAACTTAATGTTAAACTGTTCTCATACAAAATTATTTTGTAAAAGAAGGACATGCATTAGAACTTTTGAAAGCAAAAAATGAATACTTTTAAATAAGATATATTATATATAATTAGAACTGCATTTATACACACAAAATAATTTACAAAAAAAGGTATCCAAAAATAAAAATTCCACTGACTGAAAAAAATGTATTTATTGGATTATTCAGTGGGAAGATATCTTGGTGTTTATAATTCATCCTATTAATTAATCCTATTACAACAGATAGACATGTTAAATTGCTTTCACATTCAGGTTTTGGTAGGCAGACTTGTCAGTCTCAAATAGAGAGCAGCTTTCAGTCCAAGCTAAACAGAAAAACAAAAGGTTATCAGCCTAAGTTTGGAAACAATTAAAGGAGATATTAAAAAAAAAAAAAAAACTATCTAAATTAAAAAATGTCTGTCATGTTGTTTAATGTTTTGTTATCATTAAAAGCAAACTCTGATGTGGTGCAGTGGTTAGTGCGTGTGCCCCATGTATGGAGGCTGTAGTCTTCCAAGTGGGCGGCCTCGGGTTCGAGTCCAGCCTGTGGCTCCTTTCTCGCATGTCATTCCCCACTCTCTCTCCCTGATTTCCAACTTCATCCACTGTCCTATCTCTCAATTAGAGGCACAAAAAGCCCCAAAAATTATCTTTAAAAAAAAAAAAAAGCAAACTCTGATGTCAATTGAGAGACAGACAGATTAAGACCAACAGAGGAGGAACAAGACTTCCAAAACAGTGACTTTTTTTCTTGTGTTATTCTATTTCAGTTACAAACCCTTCAAGTGAAAAGAAGGAGAGTTGTGCCTCAGAAAGTTGTGACACACCCCACAAGCTCACACCTGGAAACAACTCATCACTTTCCCTTGTCTCTGTTGCTCCCCAGACATGGGAAACAAAGCAAAGAGTCTGCCTTTCTTTGACTTTATCTTGAGGATGGGCATTACTACAGGCGTTGACGCCCCTATCTCGTGTGCTTGCCTCTTGGTAATACAGGGTGTAAAAAGGCTTCTGATAAGAGAAATCATGGGAGAACACTTCCCAATCTCAATGTAAACTGTCTAAGTACCCTCGTAGGTCACATTTGTTGCTTTAGAGCCCTGAACACACCTGAGGTAAAAATGTCACTTATTTTAGGGTGTGTTAGCTTAGTGTGGATTCAGGCTGTGCGATTGGACACATAACCTTTCATGATGAGCAATGTTAAGTCTGTATTTAAATATGATCATGAGATCTCTGTAATGAGGCTTATAGTTCAAAAGCAAAAACCCTTATTGTAAGGATTTAAAATAATCCAAGTGCATAGACCTTTAATTATAACCAATACATCAGAGATTCACTGAAATTAGATGTTTTTATTTAAAAAAATAAGTAGATCTGAGTACTAGCACTCAAGTTTCATTTGCTCTAGCAGATTTGTCTGGTCTCTTTCCTGTTCAGACAGATTCCTAACCAGCCTTGGTCAGGTCGGGCCAATCACAATCCGTTATCTTATATGGAGGGGGTTAAATAGAAGAGTTCTGTCAAGGCATTTTTCCAGGCAAAATTCAGAACAGTACGTTCAACATGCTGCAGGGGCTGAATGTTTGAAATATTGTAGGGGGCACCACTGAGCCATTAAGCCACGCCCACTCATTTAAACGGTATCAAATGTTTGACTTTACCACCAGGATCATATGTATGAAGTTTCGGGACTGAACGACT